TTCCAAGCTATGTATAGCCATGAGAAGTTTTAAAAATGTTGTAAGTTATTTTTCAGTTAGAAATGCCTAAATATTTTTCTTTTCATTGCTTACATATTCATACATTTTAGTAGAAGATTCCTGGCAAGTTTTTCTACATAATATATAAAAAAAAAAAAAAAAATAAGCTTGCCGGAAATGTATGCTATTTATAGCAATGAGATATTTTATGCTAGGATGACACAATGTCTTCACTCAGAATAATTGTTCGTGTGCAATGATTTATCATTGAATTCAAATATAACACATACATGACAACGACATGCTTGACAACTACTGTTGGAAAAAATATTAGATAAACAAATTACGAATTACAAAATAAGTTTGTAGCAAAATATCCTAAAAAAATATACAGGTACCAACCATATCCTTTGGAGATTCTCCAAGCACAGAATCGTTTTTAATCGCAAACCTACAATGATTATTACCATTGAATTCATTGATTAACACACCTATTACCGTGGTATTATACTAAAATATTGGAATTTTAATAATAATAATTTATTGACAACCAATATTGTGATATGTGTACTAGAAACGATCCTATTCTTTAAAAACTAAATGTTTGTTTTAATAGTTTTACCTGCAGGTAAATATATTTATGATTTTTATAATTTGACTTACTGAAGTCGGTAAAAAATAGTTTTTAAGGGGTGTAAAAATTGACTCTCTGAACTTCAACTATAAATTACAATTAATGTAATCATAGACTTAAGTTGTGTCATTGTATTACAAAATAGCTACAACATTTGAAAAAAAATTCTGAACTAAGTGGCATTCCTAAGATGAATCTAGGAAAAAAAATCCCCAAAGCTATAAGAGGTTTTCGATTTACCGAGTGTTCGAATAATCGAGGGAAAATAAACTAATTCGAATTAAAGAGAGGTGAACAATTGTATGTATGTATTACAATTTATATTGGCATTTATTTATTATACATACATGTTAAAGTTTAAATTAGGTATGTAAGGTACGATAAAATTTATAAACTACTATAATAATTATAATAATTATATAACCACTGCACCGTCGTTAATAGTTTCATTACCAGTACCTACGTCAAATAGATAGTAAATAATCTTTATGTGTACCTACATATAAACTTTCAACTTACATAATATGTAACCACGTTTAAGAAAATTCGAATTAAAGAGGTTCGTGAAAACAAATTCTAATTGTAGAGTGTGTCCCACCGACAGATATTTCGAATTATCGAGGGCACCGGAACACATGTATTTTCTTTTAATCATAGAGGTTTTCTCAGGGGACTCACCGTTTAGTTCGATTTATGGAGTTTTTCGAATTATAGAGGTTTGAATTATCGAGTGACTACTGTATAAGTAACAAATTTGTTTAGACTTTACTGTAAAATTCGAGTATCATTTAATAGTCACTGGAGAGAATTGACTTCTTATAAAATTTAAAGTTAAGATTATTATCTAGGCAATATCATAGGGTTTTATATTATATTTTAATTTTAAAGCGAGTTATGAATATATTTATTATCTTATGATGTACAATTATATATACATATAAGTATTTGCTTTGTGGATTTTGGATTTTATTCAATAGTACAGTTATAGGTATATCTTTGGGGATTTTTTTCCTTAAATTTTTTCCTGTGGATTTTTTTCCGGGGGTTTTTATTCCAGGGATTTTTTTTCCGATTACCCCTATGATATAATTTTGGATTGTGTCTCAAATCTACATATTTATTAAAATAATTTACGTTTATGTTAACAATATTATAATTTTTTATATTGAGTAATTAGATAGGTGCATGATAATTATAATAATTTTCACAAGTAATATAACTTTTAAAAAAATATTATTAGGTGCCATATTAATTTGTAAATTTTATTTTACTTATTAGGTATAATAGTTTATTGATGTCCACCTCAACAAAATCATAATCAAAGAAATTTGTTGTTGTGTATTGCAATTAATTTTGTAAACGTTCATAACGTGGTCAAGTAAATAAAATAATTTATGACTTTTTATTTAGCGACTCATGGAAGTATGTCAGATGTCTATAATTTTTCATAATATTATGTTTAATAAGGTTTATTCCAATTAATAATATACCTAAGTAATAAGAATTAACTACACCTATTTGTTTTTTTATTATCTAGATCAATTACTAAGTAAGTTATTTTTGTGTTTTTTGTTGTACATTACTTATTTACGTGCTAAACGTCTATACATTATAATATTATTTTATGTGATACGTTTCTCTTTGTACATTACATAAATCATTGTTATTTTCACCATGTCCATCCAAATTATACAAAAGCATCATACTTTATAAACGAAAACAATTAAATCCGTTGTATAACTTTCGTTATTTTTATTTTTTAATGATTTAACTCAAATTGTCACAATCAAATCATAAGACCATATTTTGTAGTTATTTCAAGTACAATTTTTTATAACCACATAATACAAATAACTCTTAGCGACTAACAATGTAGATTACACACATTAATGATAGATTATTGAGAGGATTATATTAATGATATTATGCATCTTATTTTTATGACTAGCGTTTTTGAAAAGAAGTTATTCATTATTTAGTTTTAAAATTATAATTATTATGAGTTTTAAAATAAAAGTCTACTATTGCGAAATCGTTGAGTTTTCTATAGCATTTCATTATTATAATATGTTTTTCTAGTTGAATGTCGTACGTATATTTTTGTTTTTATTATATTATTAAAATAACTAAATTGGGACGGATAGTAGCTGAGCGGACTAAGGCGTCGATTGCGACTCACACCGACGCCAGTTCTATACCTCGGATATGGGCACCCGAACATAACAGATACCTACGGGTGCCCAAATCAAAAATTCTGCCAAAACAAACACACACGTGTTCCTCTATCCCTCCTCCAACAAAAACCTACAAACAAAAAACAAAAATTAGCTAAAGGCCTAAACTGCCAGGCTCGAGTTCAATAAAAAAAAAAAAAAATAACTAAATATAATATATTAATCTGTGAGGAGATCTCAAGATTGTATTCTAGCAGTGGCGTCATTTAGTCTTTGTTAGTTTAGGGCAACAATTTACTTGTTTGACTTTTCAACATTATTGAGGAGTAAATATTGAACATCACGCTTCGGTTTTTTAAGAATTAAATTAAAAATAGGCAGGCAAATGGGTGTCGCTTTGGTGTACAGTAGGCTATAAGTGAGTCACTGTAATGGATGGTGTTAAATTTGAACTCAATGATATAATATCATTGTATACGAAAAACGATATTGAGCAAAGCCTGTCAGTCAGCAACCAGATACATTACTAACTACTAAGTATATTTGATGATATTACTGTGAATACAGTAATTTATTTACCTATTTCCGCCACTGTATTATATTATGTTGTTGCGGAACAAACAACACAACATCTAAAAAGGTCTTTTTCAAGATCAACAAACAAAGATGATAGGGAAAGTAAGACAAAGTGACAAATGAAAATCACACATTGTAAATAGAAACGTCCCAACAACGATGTGACTTTGATCTGTCAAACAAGATCCCACAGACCAATCAGCACTGGACTAGATTGCCGAAGAGGGGAAGAGGGTATAAATGCCGGACACTCGACAATATACCTAACCTAACCTAACCTCCCCAGTCCAGTCAGCGATTGATTCACCACCTCAAAGTGACGTTCAGCGTCGAACACGGAACTTCGGCTGCACCAGTTTCAAAAATCAAACATCATACTTCGTAAGTACCACTTTATTAGTCCCCCCCTCCGACCACGAGGCAAGTGTACCTGAGGGTCCACGTAGCCGGGTCTACACCGTAGTACAGGCATTCCCGTCAGCACACCATGGCACGAACCAGGAAACAACAAGGTTCCTCCCCGAAAAACAACACAAAAGGACCTCAACGACTAGAACCAAAGTCACCATCACCCTTCGACAATGAAACCTCCATCGTTACGGAGTCACCAACTCATTCTTCATTAACTATTGATTCTAACGACACCTGGGATGGCAGTGTGTCCCAAACCTCAGGCTCAGAAATCGAACCACCTCATGTCAAACAAGAACGAATACCACCAATCATTATAGAACCAAACCATTGGATTAAAGCTGCCCCAAAAATCATGACACAATTTCCAAATGGTAAACTTACGGCTAAACTTATCAAAAACAACATCCATGCCCTAGCAACCGACTCTGCCACCTTTCGCCAGGCTCAAGACATTTTGGAAAAAGCCAAAATACCTTTCCACACCTTTTCGTTACCAGCGGAAAGATCCTTAAAAGTATTACTCCGAGGAATACCCAACAACACCCTAGTAAAAGACGTTCAAAACGAACTCTCCGAGCTCGGATTTGAAATAACCCACATCAGACAATTCTTAAAAAATGGAAAACCACTACCAATGTACATGGTCACCCTTCCCTGCAACCCAACAAACAAGAACATATTCAATTTGACATCAATCTTCTACATCTCAATCACAGTTGAACAATACCGAGCTTCTGGGCCCTCTCAATGCTTCAACTGCCAAAACTTCGGCCACTCATCAGCAAACTGTAAACACCCCGCCCGCTGCGTCAAATGCAGTAGTGCCCACCAAACGAGGGAATACTCCAAAATCGCCGAAAAACCTCCAAAATGCTGCAACTGTGGAGGAGAACACACAGCAAACTTCAGACAATGCCCTGTTTTCGCAGATCAAATGACCCTCAAAACTAAATCAACCAACACTGTAGCTAAATTACCATCACCAACCATTACGACAAATCCTACACCATCAGTTAAGGAACCCAGCGGAACAAACACCTCTTATGCTTCAATTACTACAAATCACTCAGACAAAACCAACAGCAAATCCAAAGATTTGCTCACCAAACTTCTTATAGATACGATACAAAAAATATCCACTTCCACTGATATCAAGGAAACAATCATGTCGGCCCTCTCAGCCATTATCATGATTATCCAAAATGTCTAACAATCTCCGTATCCTCTACTGGAACTGCCGGGGCGCCTCTAAAAAACGCCTCGAACTCCTTGAATTAGTTCAAAGGAAAAACATCGACATTATTTTACTCAATGAAACGCATCTTAACAACTCCCAACAATTCAAACTTCCAAACTTCCTCTTATATATCACTAATCGCCCCCAACGGCTAGGACATCCTGCGTGGGGAGGCACAGCCATACTTATAAATCGAAAAATCGTTCACCACCAGATTAAGATCACTACATCATCAATTGAAAATACCTCAATTCAAATCCAAGTAGGCAACAAAGAATTAAGATTATCAGCGGTCTACAAAAAACCTGATACCCTACTTCTTACTTCAGACCTAGAATCTCTGCTTGATACTTCACACTACGTCACCATAGCAGGCGACTTAAACGCCAAACACCAATCCTGGAACAGCAGGAGACAAAACACAGCAGGAAACACGCTCGCTAATTTCGCAGACAAGAGAAGGGATATAACCATAGCTGCCCCGACTTCGCCCACTCACTATCCTGATAACCCGAACCACAATGCTGATATACTGGATATAGCTATTCTCAAAACAGGGAATCTAAGGTATACAATAGGAAATCTCACAGCCGAACTTTCTTCCGATCACACCCCTATAATTCTTGAGCTACAAGCCCAAGGCACTCAAACCCTACCACCTAAAGCTTTTAAACATACAGATTGGACCAAATTCAATCTTGATACCAAAAACATAATCTTTGATCACAAGAAATACGATTGAACGAATTCGAAACACGTTGACCAAGCCATCACTGAACTTACAGCAAAAATAGCTGACCTCGCAAACAGAAACACCCATGTTACCAACACAAAAGATCAAATCCACAACCTACCCATCAACATCCTAAACGCAATCTACAAAAAACGCAAACTGAGGAAGAACTGGCAACACACAAGAAACCCAGACGTTAAGGCGCAACTCAACAGACAAACAGCCCTAGTTCATGACCTAATGCAATCACACAGAGACAACGAATGGGTCAACTTTCTGAGCAACATCGATCCCACAAGTGAAGGCTGGACAAAAATTTACAAATTAAACAAAAAACTCATGCACAAACGACCAGCTGTACACCCTCTTTCGGACAATCAAAATATTCTACACTATAATGCAGCCACCAAATCGGAAATATTCGCTGATTCAATGGAAAAACAATTCCAAACACCAGACCACACAACTCAGACGGATGAATTAGTCATGAATGCCATTGAAGAACATTTTAAAATACCTTACACCAAAAACATTTTCTTCTCCCCCGGAGAAATTCAATACACCATAAAGAAACTACCAAGTCAAAAAGCACCAGGTCCAGATCAACTAACTAACGCCTGTCTCAAGCATTGTGACAGGAAAGTGCTACTACAACTATGTAACATACTCAACACCTGCACGAGACTGGAATACTTCCCACAAAAATGGAAGCACGCCACCATAATCATGATCCCAAAGCCAGGAAAGGACGTCAAACGACCAGTTAACCACAGACCAATATCTCTATTAAACACGCTGGGGAAAGTTTATGAAAAATTGATAATTAATCACTTGCAACACTACTTAAAAGACCATATGAGACCCGAACAATTTGGATTTCGGCCAAGCCATAGTACCACCACCCAACTTGTCCAAATAGTTGATGAAATCTCAATAAATCTAAACAAAAGGGCAAAAACAGCCACAGCATTTATAGACATTGAAAAAGCCTTCGACAAAGTCTGGCATCAAGGTCTGATCTACAAACTAATTCAATTTCAATTACCAATTCAGCTGCTTAAACTCCTCCAATCGTTCCTCCAACTCAGGACATTCGAAGTAAGTCAACGACTCAACGTCATCATGTAGACCCATACTCGCCTGTGTACCGCAAGGATCGTGCTTATCCCCTAAGCTCTTCTCGGCCTACATTAATGACATGCCCCAGCACAAAGATTCAAAGACGGCTCTATTTGCAGACGATACCATGTTCTACGCTTCCGGACCCACCACTAACTGCGCCGTTAAACGACTACAAAATCAAATAGATCTAGCCTCCACATGGTTCAAAGATTGGAAGGTACCAATAAACCCTACTAAAACTACAGCAGTTCTGTACGCAAACAAAATACCTTATCACACAAAAAATATACTAATGGAAGGCAACACTATAAAATGGTCCTCCAAAGCCAAATACCTAGGAGTAACAATTGATTCCAAACTACACTTCACTTCCCACATCACAGACACAATGAACAAAACTAAAGCTGCAAAACACTGCCTATTTCCAGTTATCAATAAAAACAGTCCGATTCCCCTTAATATGAAATTATATATATATACAAAACCTACCTAAGGCCAATTCTTACATACGCAGGACCAGCGTGGGCTTCCAACATATCAGAAATTTCTTGGAAAAAACTGGAGAGCACCAAATCAGGTATTTTAAGAACCATCACAGACAGTCAATGGTTTGTAAGAAACTCAACAATCAGGAACTCTGCTGAAATCCCATCCATCAGACATTATATACAGACCGAGACATCAAAATTAAAATCCACCATCACTAGTTCAAAATTCTCACACATCTCAAATATAAGCAAAAGAACCTCGCCTAAACAATTATTCATAAACAGACCAATCTCCTTCTAAACAAAAAATACCTAACTCATGAACCATCTTACCCCTCACATGCAACCCTCTGAAAGAAGCATCAAAGCTGGAACAGAGTAACAACAAACAAAGCAAAGCAAAGCAATATAGTCAGTCCACTTCAACTCTTCAAACTGTCAACATTCAACAACTTCAACACGAGTTCAAGACAGAAGAATGACACGGGAAACTTGACAGACCTGCACTCGACGACGATAACGCTGCTCCACGGCTACAAGCATCATCCGACAGTCAACCATCTGCGAGACCGCCACTCGACGGTATAAGACCGGTGCCGACGTGCTGTCCAACGACTGATGTCAACACAGTGACGAGGAATCAACGGTATCCGACGCCACATCAGGAAAACGGCCCTTTTCATTGCCACCCCACCACTTGTTAAGGCACTTAATTGAGTTGACCTTTCTGAGCCAGGTTCGCCTTCGGGATACCGCTTCACTAAATTTGTACTGACGATGGCCGGCTCCCCTTTCCCATTATTTGTACTATATGAACTGAAACATCACCCAATATGTAAATAGAGGCTGGTGATTACCCGACTAAACCCCAAGCGCCTCCGATTGTGTCGACTCACTTATATAAGTCCGGTCGACACTTTACTCAAACCCCAAATATTGTAAATATATAAATTACATAGACCATAGAAATAGAGGTACGTGATAATCAATAAACAGTTGTCTTATTATTTATTAACGGTGCGGGCCGTCTATTTGGACGAACCGTATCAATGTAGTAGGATATTATTATTTCGTCCATTAGCTTCAATGTCCATTTGTTGATAAATTGAGATTGAAGATACAATATAAGAAACATTAGAGTACCTACTACTTACCTACATTGAGCTGTTCGTAAAGTATTTTATTAAATACCTACCTATGAAAAGTTCTTATAAAAAAAAATCAAAAAGAAAAGAAAATTTAAATTACTATTATTTGTAATGTTTCTATATTAGAAAAGAATATAAGGTGGTTCATAAACCAAAAATTAAAAGCACATATCCTTCAAATTTGAATCACACGAAATAATAAGGGTATTTTTAACAATAATACTCTGAAATATGCAAATAATAGTAATGTTCTATAGGTAGTCCTACTATTAAGATCTACGCATCAGAATTCTTACATTTTCATTAGTGGTACCTAGAATAATCCAAAGGGGTTTAACACATTGAACACCTCTTTAAATTATATAATCGTATACCTAATAAATAACAATCAATCATTATACTTTTTTTTTTTTGCAGAAACTATTGGTAAATATATTTTATGTTAATTGTCATACTTCTACTACCATAAACCAAAAAACTAAATGGATATTCTTCAAATTTGAAGCATACGAAATAATAACGGTATTTTACTCTCAAATGAGCACATATTAATGTAATATAGGTACCTAGTCTATAATATTATGAATAATATCCATACAACAGAATTCATACATTTTCATTAGTGGTACCATTGATTATATAATGGTTTGTATTTTTAACCTATATGTACAAGCTGCGATAAAAAAGTACGAGAAGAAATTTAAGTTTGGTGATAATAATAATGAGGAGAAAGAATAGATATTATGCTACGATTTGCACATGACAATGGGGTAATAACAAACAATGGAGAGAATTTATAGAATATCTTAGAAGTAATGGAATTCACAATAGAAAATTAATACAATGAAAATGAACAAAGCAAAAACTCAAGTCGTTGTTTCAATGAATACAAATATCTGGGAAGTAAGATAACCGAAGACGGCAGTTCATTTAGTACCAGGGAGATAATAAGAAGAATACACCAGGTTGAATATGCATTTCGGAGCAAGAAAAATATGTTTACATTTAGAAATATTTACATAACTGTAAGGAAAACCCTATTAAAAGCCTATGTTTTTAGCATAGCAGGGTATGGTATTAAGGAAGTAGGTAAAAAAGAAAATGATAGAGTCCTAGTATTTGAGACATGATGTTACTGAAGGAGGCTGCTTGAATAAGCTGGACAGAACACATAACAAATAAAGAAGTCTATCGAAGAGGCGGAGGAACAAGAATCGGTCCTTAAAAACAAGAAGTTAATTGGACGCACACTGCGCCATAACAGTCTTGAGTCTACTTACGAAGGTGTCATTGAGGAGGAAAATAGCACAGGGTGACCACCACAGGACTACATTAGTCAAATAGTAAGAGATAGGGACTGCAGATCGTGTTGTGAACTAAAAATGAAGCGTCAGGAGTGGAAAATTGCTGAAAAGTAAAATAGAAAGGTACAAAAGTAGAATAAAATAATCAATGGTACCTAAAAATAACAAAAGGAGTCCATCACATTGACAATCACTATAAATTTTATATTGTATATGCTTGTAGGTATTATTAATAACTATCGTATGTTATTATTTATCTGTTTTTTTTTTTACAGAAACAATATGTAAGTATATTTAAAATGTATTGTCCTATATTTACTGTATTCTCTTCTGGAATAGACCGATGATAAATCCAAAATTAATTAGAACACACAGTGTTTGTAATATTGGTTTAGGTTATTACTATTTATTTGTAGTCCATTTTAGATGATTGAAACGTCAATAATTAATGTTATGCAAAAAAAATTCAAACATGTTATGAAACTCCACACGGAAAGAAAAAGTGGGGGAAGAGGTCCACACACAAAGATTTTGAGATTCATTATGTTTAAAATCAAAAATTGTTTTTGTTTACAAATGGTTAATATTGCCAATGCTAACTCGGGGCAGATGAGGTAAAAGCATGCACCAGATCGTCCCTTTATGGTCTCGAATGAAGAAATGATATCTTGAAACAAAATATACTAGAGTTTAATGTATTCGATTTTGTGAAAATGTCAAATTGTTCTTAGAGATATCAGGACACTTTAGAAAGTAGTTTCAACACTTTTGATTCATAGTAAGTGCTATTTTCAGTCCAGGAGCGTACCCAGGGATCCCCCTATTAAAATACCTGCATTGGCTGTATAATCCAAAAATATACTATATGTGTGAACAGCCTCTCCTCCTTCCCAAATTGTATTTAAATATTAAATTAAAATACCCCCCTCCTACACACCACATTGATT